CAACTCCGCCCTCCCCACCCCCACCCCACCCCCATCCCCACTGCGGAGCCTCCGGGCGGGCGACTACTGGGCGGGGTCACCCGGCTGGGTGAAAGGGATGCGCCTGCCCCCAGCTCCACCACCCGGCGGCTGCGGGAGGCGCCTGCGGACTCCAGGGCTTGGAACCGGCCCTCTAGGAGCGCTCTGAGCCTTGGCAGCTCTTGACTTTCCAAGCCTTTACAGCGCTGCCCTAGTCGCAGGCACGCCCCGGGCTGCCAAGCAGGCTGTGAACGGCCATTCACTCTCCAGTTTGGGTGCGCGGATCCCGGACTGCATCGGCACCTGCCTGTGTTAATGCTTTGGGGGCGGCTAAGGGAGAAGTCTCCACCGGCCTCAGGGTGCCTCGGACTGATCTCTCCATCCTCTCTTTCCTTTTAGCCTCGTGAATCCGTCCCTTGCTCCTGATGCGGAGGGGTCTCTCCCGCCTGGGAAGAGCTGGGCCTCGCCTCTTCCCCTGGGTGGGCCTCCCCTTCTCGGGTAACCGCTGACCCTCAGGCTGCAGCGGCACTGGCACTGCTTGGGGGCACAAACACCCCTTTCCCAGCGCGCTCTCTCCCATCCATCGCAGATGGGCGCTCACTTGTGAGGGCCGACGAGACAGGGCCACTGTCCCGGGCCACCTGAGCGGCTTTCGCCCTCCAGCGGACATCGCGCAACCTACCAGCCAGCTGCAGAGGGAGAGGGAGCTCCTGCGACCGCTCTGCCCAGAGGACCTGGCCCTTTCACAGACAGAATGAGGGTCTCTAGAGGAAGGGACCTAACTAAGGCTACACCGAGGGGGTAGTCCATTAATGCGACCGGCTTTTCAAACATTTTCCAGCCTCGATATACCTTAGTTTACGGAGTTGTAAAACTACGTGCATGGATAAAAGGCAAGAGAGCAGAAAAAGTGAAGGCGAGGCTCTGCTGCTCCGCCTGCTTAAAACCAAATTATCCCTCCAGCAGTTCCGGAGGACAACCAGATGACCCGCTGTATTCGTAGAAGTTCCACAGGGCAGAGAAGGTAGGAAAGGCTGAAATTTAATTGTTTGGAGCATTATGGGCAGAACAATCCAAACAACTGCGACCAGGAGCAAGGTAGATGAACTGATAAAGAAAATAATCATAGGACCCTCCCTGGTGACAACAGGTTAAAGTGCAGCCCTGGGAAGCTGGTAACGGGCCTGTGTAAGTTCGATCCCCACCGGGAGGTGACTCACAGGGCACAGCAGACTTCTCCTTTCTTGCCCACTGCTATCCGCAGCAGCATGTTTCAGTAGATCTGCCCGTTCTGCTTCCAACTCTGTCTCTAGTGAATCCTCTCACCGCAACTCTGGACAGTTCTGTTCTCATAAATAAATCTTAAAAAAAAATCATAAACCATCAGACACTGATATCCAAATGGTCTCCAAATGGAGGCTGGGAGGGTGGGGTGGGAGGGAGGGTCAAAGGGGTAAAGGGGATGATAGGGGGAGTCAGTCACTCAAATCAGGTTTCTGCCTCTTTTCCTGGAACCTCCACCTCAGGACAGTATTCTCACATCTCCCTCCTGCATCTGCCACCCTTCTGTCCTCGCCCTTTGTAATTCTCATTCATCTAATCCCAGGTTTTCCTCCCTCCCCATCCACCCAGGGCACTTAGCATAATTTGTGCCTGTTTGTTTATTGATGTGATTTTATTTAGTGTATGTGCACACAACTCCTTTGAAAGTGGGTGACCCAGTGTTTGCCGTAAAAACCTTTTCTCTGGGATGTAGGAATGAATACGAGTCAGCCATGAGGTGCAGTTAGACAACTGCTTGGAAGGGGGATATGGTGGTCAGAGCACAGACTCTGGAGCCAATCTCTGTGGCTATATTTTCTGGTATCTTCTCAGCCCTGCTATGTGTACTTGCACACATATTTTTTCACTAATGGAGACAGGAATGCCAACATGGATTGCAAAGATTGTTTTTGGGATTGTATCAGTTAATGCCCAGAGCATGCTTCCCACAGTGCTCTGGCATAGACAAACCGATCAGTAGCTATTTGCTCTTGCAATTATATGCAATATACATATATATGCATATGCATGAAAGTATGTGAAAATCGCTTATAAATGAAGGGCAAAAATTATACTCCAAGTAACAGGAACAATGCAAGAACTGTTCAAGAAGCAGTGAACTTGTATTAAGTATAAACGACAGTGGAGGCTAGTTAAAATCACCAACAAATGGGGAAATATTTGAAATTTAGCAAAATTCTGAGATAGTTCAGGAATACTGGAGGTTGAATTGCAACAACAACAAATCTAAACAAATGGAGGGATTATATCAAAATTATGGATAGGAAGACTAAACGTTGTAATACCCATGCCTCTCAAATCTCTAAATTTAATGCAATCCCAATGAAAATACCAACAGAAATTTTATTTGACAAGTTAAGTCTAAAACTCACACTTATGCAAGGAGTGAAGAATAGTTAAGTGAGGAGATGTTACCTATCAGAATTCAAGATTTACAGAGTTATAGTGAATGATAAAATGATTAACTGTTTAACTTGAGGATCAAAAAGTATACACCAGTACCACTGAAAAGAGATTAGAAATAAGCCCATGCTTACATGAAAACTTGATAGACAAGAGACATTGCATGAGCTGTTCAATGCAGCAGCTGCTGCTGGACCAAAGTTCATTTTAGCATTGGAAACATTGTTCTTTCACTGATTATAATGAATACATAAGGAAAGACTGATCTTATAAAAGCCAATAAATTCATAAAGTTACTTTTAGTTTTTCTTTGAGTCATTTCATTTTCTCCAAAAACTGAACATAAGAGTTCAATTGTTTCACACAAATACACTACCACTCTACAAATAACTTATAAGTTGTGTTACATAGTGCACTGTGTTTTAAAAACATGTTAGGGGAGGTATAGTGATCACCCCCCCCCACTTTAGTGGGGGGAGGGAGCTGAGAGGCCAGGTGATGCTGGGCAACAGGGAAAGCAGCTGGCACCCCGGGGCACCCGAGAAGAGAGAGCTCTTGCTTGCTTTCACAGCCTGACTTGAACTCTGGTATGCTTGGAGGGAGGCAGGGAGGACAGACTTGTAGAGACATTTAGAAGAGACACGTGGGGAGGCTGACAGCAGCCATTATTTTGATGTGGGATCTCCCTTTGTCTCAGTTCTTTCTGAGGCTTCCTTCAGACCCCCTTTCCTGTGGTTGCCCACCAGAAGTTACCATAGACTTGTGACAAGTCTAATGCCTGAGGGCAGTAGAAGTTTTCAAAAGTTGAACAAGAAATGACTCTGAAGACTTGGCAACAAATACCTTTACAAGTCAAGTGATGCCCCATTCTTTCTTTGCTATCAACAAAATTCAATGACAGCTCATTGAACTTTCAGCTGATACAACATCAAAAACAATTTACTGTGATAGATTATTGGGTGATTTTTGGTGAATTCGGTATAACTTGGGGAAAGTTCTTAGAATTAAAGAACTTTTAAAATTAAATGTCTCTTCTATTCCTATCCATTTATATGAGCAAAGTTTATTAGAACTCACATTTAAAACAGACAAAAATAATGGATATTGAATCCTGTCTCATCCGAGTAACAAGTGACATCCATGACAAATTAAAAACAAAAAAGGTCCTATCCACCTTTCTGACTGAACTGCCTTTACAATTAAATATCCTTTTTAGATGTAATAATTATTTATCAAAATTGATGCTATATTTATGTTGCTTTGATCAAATGTATACTGAAAAATGGCTATGAGCAGAAGAAAATTTTAACACTTAAGGTCTTACTGTCTGGGACCTCCCTGGAGGTGCAGGGGTTAAAGTCTCAGCACTGTCAAGCTATCACCAGCCACTGCAGCACAAGTTCGATCCCTGGACAGGGAAATGACCCACATGGTGTGGAGACCTCTCCTGAGTGGACCGCTGCTCCCCTCAGCAGTGTATTTCAGTAGATCTGCCTGTTCTGCTCCCCACTCTGTCTCTGGTGAATCCTCTCACCCTCCGCATCTCTGGCCTGTATCCCAGTTCTGTATGAATAAATAAATATATATATATATATATATATATATATATATATATATATATATATATATATAAGAAATGTAAGAATAAATAAAAAACATAGTTGAGTTTTAAGCTGATGGGGAGGAAAGTTGGGGTTAGAGAGTGGATCTCCACTATATTGGAAATATTTTATTATTTCAACTGGGTATAAATATAATTCTTTATACTTTTAAACACATTTTAAATGTTGTAGAATAAATGTTGAAGGGGCCTATTACATTTAATATTAGAAAATCTATTTGTGAAACTACAAGTAATAAGATAAAGGGAAAAATATTGCAGACCAAGTAAGAACAGTTAATGTGTAACCTACTGAAAATTTATTCCCCTTCAAAAAAAATTGTTGGGTGGTGGAAGGGAGGGGCAGAAGTAATTGAGAGAGAGCGCGCGAAAAAAGAGGGATGTGTGGCTTTTAAATTAGGCAAGTTTCTTTTTTGTCACTGTGTATATACATGACATCTGAATTAAAATGTGAACTTTGATCCTTTTTCCAAATTGAAGCTGGGTCCAAAGTTTCATGTCATGAAATAATAATAGTGGCCTTGACAGACAAATGTGGAACCGCAAATTCCTTTGAGCTGAGTAAGGACTCAGATTTTCCCACTCGCCTGAGTTATTCAGTCCCCTTCTTGCTGAATGGCAAGTAATTCTTGTCTAAGTCTTTCACTTTCAAACATGTCCATCAATAGAAAAGATGAAAATGTGCACAGGGACTATCATCTCCATTGGTCAAACATGTCCGTTTTTATGGTG